CATAAAATTTGAATGTGTCCTTTCTTGTAGTATACTTGTTCGATTGTTTTTATAAACATTTGATCACTGAATATTACGTAATTATCAATGCATTTACTAAAACGGAACTGGTGTACCTTATTCCATCAATGATACAAATTTGCTAATGTTTCGATACGTCTTTAAAGGTATTTAACTCCCTCCCCCCTTCAAGGACAATGGCGCATGACCTTCTCTCCTTTTAAGATATTTCGTTTCTCTTCTCTTCTTAAAACAGTGCAAGCTTAAGTAAAATTTTAATAATCATATTTCATATACAATTACACTTTCAGTAGTCTGTGCTATGTTTTTCTCTTGTCCTCTGGTTTGAAACTTATCAATCTAAAAATTCATAACTCCGTCGAAATGCGCCTCCCTCAAAAATTCAAAACCTCGTCAATTTTGATGGCGTAATTTTCGCTATGAAACTCACACGCGGGCAACTCTGTCTAGTTAAAAGTGCATTATTATTAGAGTTGAAATTACACATTAATTTTTTTTTCAGTCGGTATGTTTGTGATCACTATGACATCAATCTAAAGTAATTTACGACCTTTACGAGGCGATTATGTCACATTTTTAGGTGTATGGGACTTCATAATAATTAATTACTAATTTTAAATTCCTTTAAAAATAATTTTTTAATAAAAAAATAATAATAATACTAATAAAAAACTTAATAAAAAGATTTATATTTAACCAATAGTTACTCAATAAATATTTTCCTGAATTGTTTCACTTAATTTGTAATCTGTTCGGTCTAGCTTCTATTAATATCCTTCAAGTTTCCTTAAAGTCTGGCTTCTTTTCATCAAACAGCTGTTCTAATTTTTTTCAATAATAAATATTAAATATAAATTAATGGAAAATTTATACTTGACTGAAATCAAATCCTGAAACAAATTAATTTTAATTATGCTTTGAATAAAGTGCTCCGTTACATATATATTTACACACGTGTAATATATTTATGTTTCATTCATATTTGTATTTGTTTTTAGCGAATTGGTATGGTTTATTAATATTAATAAATCACAAAATTTCTTTTACCAACTTTAATTAAATGTCCCCCATATTTGAGTTGATTTCATCCGATATTGGATTATTGTTTACCAATTGGAATATTCAATTCCTAATACACTGCCCTCGGTTTCCCATTATTTGAATATGAAATTACAACCAACTAAAACCAATCGCTCCGACCGTTCTCGGGATCTATATTAATAATTAAATTTGCTTTTGAAATTGAAAAATAAATTAAATTGACGAAATTAAAATTCACGAGTGCCATTCGAGGGGAGAGCATAATTAAATGAAAGCCATGAGCTAAAAAGAATTTGGACGTAATTAAATTTTTTTCGGGGTAAATAAAAAAAACAATTTTCTACCTCACAAAAGGATATTTCTGAGAGCTTTTGAAGCAATATTTTCTAATAAGAACTTTGTAAACTTGCTCGAATTGATAATGTCATACACAGGTGGATCTATGGGAGAAGGGGGAGTTTTCTGTCTGAAGCCTCCCCAAAATGGTATAATCTAACCATGTTTTATAGAAAATAAAATATTAAAAACTATCTCTTAAAGTATTCTTGTTACTATATTTATATTTAATAGGACTTAATTTCTTTCTTTTTTTTCAAATTAATTATCGTTAAATGTACATGAAAAAAAAATCTTTCGGGCTAGAGCCCCTCCCTCCCCAAAATTAAATCCTGGATCCACTAGTGATGTAAATGATTTTTTTTTTTACGTTGAACTAGTGGATTCTTCTTACCATTAATTAACCAGTCATATCAATTGTAATTAAATTTAAGTTTGATTAAAAATTTCTTAAGAATTAATTATCTCTGATTATTATTAATTATTAATTAAGTTAAGTATTTGTTTCTTGTTTTTTTTGTATCCAGGTCAGTTATTTTGATATTATTACTTTATTTTTTTTTAAAACTAGCTGTAATCCCGTAGTTTCACCCATGCTAAATTTATTTTTATTTTTATTAAGGACTACTCCACAACTGTGGTTATCCCTGACCTAAATGTCATTTAAGATATTCTTCCATCGTTTTCTATCTAATTCTTGTTCTTCTCTGATGGCCCATCAGGCTTTCTTTCACCGTGTCTTTTCATTTAACCTTTTGTCTTCCTTTTTTCCTTCCCCCTTATACTTCCAGTTCCATACATAGCTCTGGTAATATTTCAGGTCTTATTCTTTTAACATTTCCAAACCGGTAAAGTCTTTTCTTTTCAATATCTGCTATAATGTTTCTTTCCACTTCTTTCAGGTCCAGGATTTTTTCATTTTTAATTTTTTCCTCTCTAAATTGTCTTGCTGCCCTTCTCCGAAAATCCATCTCTACTGTTATCAGCCCTTTCCGGTGTCTTGCGTTGATGACATGTCTCCGAGGCATACAATTTAAATTATACATGACTATTTCATATACATTGTGAGTACATGGCGAAGTCGATCTGAGTAACTGAATAGCATCTAAAATTGGTTTTGAAAAACAAAGAAAAAAAAAATTATATGACAACTAGCACCTTCAGTTTGATCTTCAGTTCTACACAAAACAACATACAGAATTCGTAGAGGAAAAATAATTACTTTAAAATAAATTCCAATATGCTTAAAAGTTTGTCACTGCGTTTTATTTATCGTGATTAGGAACTGTACTCTCCGCGTAATTGCCTACGTTTTCCAAACCTGAAAGGAGAAAGTATTGGAATGAAATACTTGACATCGTAGCAAAGCAGGAAAAACAACATTTACAAGAAGTTCTTAGAGTGATGAAACACTATAATTAGTGTTGCCCAAAATCGGTCTTGGTCTTGCACTTTGCAAGACCAAGACCAAGGCCACCTAACTGTTGCAAGACCAAGACTAGGAATGGTAAAAAAAATCGATTTTTTAAATAAAAATTATGACAAAATAGTTCCTAATACTTGACAATCTTAGTTAATATATTTAAAGAGCTGGTATAACCAATATACTTTTGCATTTAACATCTCCAATTTTTCATTTGGGCTTAGTTAGGTTCCTGCTATCTAAAAAATTACAGTAATATCTCTATAATAATAAGCTAATAGGTAACTGCAAGACTGTTGGGAGATTCTTGCCCAAAACCAAGACCATGACCAAGACTGAGTTTGCAAGACCAAGACTCGTCTCGGTCTCGCATTTGGGCAATACTAACTATAATGGTGGAAAACATGGCAGATATAGCTGGGAGTCAAGATCTAAAGACAAAGAAGCACTGCACTAACCAACCTAATTTCTACGCCCATAGTTCTACAACAGTAGTGTATTGCTTAACAGAAAATAAATGTCTCTACTATCAAGACTGAAAATTAATCAAGGTCTTATAAATCGCGGCCTAACGCTAATTCAAGTTAATAAAAATGATAAATGCTCTAAATGCAATATCATCGAAGACCCATTACATATTATCCAGAAAAGCAAATAAAATACTTCGTCATTCAAAACTATAACACTTTTCTCCAAGGTTTTACAAATCTGGACTGGGAATGTCATTCAGTCTTTAAGCAGATTCATAAAAGAATACAGAACAGATTTCTAAAAAATTTACATCAATATCTTCTGTACCCATTTTGATGGTATTACAATATGGACAGTACAGGACTTCAGCCAATCAACAGGAAAGAAAGGAGATGAAAAGTAAATTTTATGCTGCGACATTTTGTTCGTATAGAATAAAGAAAATAAATTGAAGCTACATTTATCTGGTACGAAATGGTTGTCAAGATATAATTAAATTGCAGAGTTATGAAACTCAGATAAATAAATGTCAGTATCTTTACATAATTTTTACCACTAATAAGTAATATAAATAATAATTGCAAAATAAGGATTGCAACTCTTAAATAAGTAAAAATGAATTATTATATACATTAGGAAGATTGACAGCTGAGAAGATGGAGATATAATTGGTTTTTAAATTAATTAAAAGATGAAATTTTGCGTATTGGGTTGGATAAGGAATTTAAAAAAAAGCAAGGTTATGAAATGAAAATATATTTTTAGTATTCTGGGACTCCTTTAGAAAAAAATATAAGTAAAAGGTAAATGCCAATGTGGCCATACATAAATTAAGTTTTTTTTTTCTCTGAGTGATCAAAGCTGGTTCAAATATTTTTAAAAAAATTACGAGGAACTCACATTTTTATTTGTCCATTATTCAAAAAGTTCTCAAATGTTACAGTATTTACTGTTTTATTTTGGAAGTAAAAATAAAGGTGAATGTACGAGCTTATCTGAGTAGGAAAGAGAAGAACGTTGGAAACATGCAAATTTTCAATAACGATTGTGGACGAATTTCGACCACTTAGCGAACACTAGTTAAAATAATCTTTTAATAATAAACTAATGTTAAATAGCTAAATTATTAATAACAGTTAACATGAATATGTTGGTACCATTAATTTCAATGAGTTTACAGTTATTTAATTTTCAGTTATAATTATGGATGTCTAGGGAATTTAGATTTGGGTACGGTGAGTGGACGAGATTTAGACAAGGATTGGTAGTTTCATGTTTCCTGCGTTTTTCAAAATTATTTTTGTTACTAAAATACGGTATATTTTCCATCGATGTCATCAATTTGATACCCACTGTCTTATTCCATCGAATGGCGAGAGCGTAATGACTCGCTTTCGAGGCCCATGTCAGCCGGTTATCAGGTTGATGAAACCGTGTCTTCTCTCTCTACTTGATTAATTTCGCCAATGGTGTTTGTGGCGTTACAGTCGCTTCAATAATAACAGTACATTATGTCACCAAATTCAAGATTATTGCATTTCCCAAACTTCACATAAGTTGTCTAGATATATCGCTGTATACTTCTAAATTTCGAATAATCTTGGTAACGTTTTTTCAAACTATATTTTAGGCATATGATACTCTACAATTAAAATTAATTCATGGCGTTGTGAGAGTAAAATGAAACTTTTTAATGAATACCAGTTGATACTTTTATGAAAATTTTAATTTTAATAGAAATGAAATAAAAATTTACTGCGATTTTTTTTTTATTTGCTGCTAAAGTCATACATTTCTTCGCTATGTTCTTCAAAGATCATCTTCGAAAATAATCAGGAGCTGAGGATTTCTTCGAATAAATAATTTAATTTTTCTGCTTCTAAAAGTTTCCAATCTTCCTTCAACTCAAGTTTTTCTTGTCTCTCCATTCAGCGGTTATATAGCTGCTATTTTCCTATAACATTATTTTTGTATTATTGTAATAGGATAAAACTGTTATACCGGTGATAATGTAATACTTACATACATATAAGTATGTGAAACGACCTAGAAATCAACCTGATTCTTCAAATCTGATCGGTTTCTAGAGTCGGAAAAGAAATGTCTTCTAGCGACGGTCCATCGTCTGATTTATCTGTGTGAATAAAAATAGCAATATTTATATTGAAAATAAGTCATTATAACTAATTATATATTTATTTTTAATTGAAAACAACGCACGGTATAATTTACAGTATACGAAATATATCACGGCTAGTGGCAAACAAGCAACTCAATGATTTTGAAAACTATGCTAACAATACACAAATAACTAAATTTAAATTTTAAAAAATCATTATTAAAGTTCCTTTACTTTAACAATACAAAATGTCATATTAAATAAAAGAAACGATACATTTCCTTACTTATTTTATTTTATTTTAACATGAACTGCGGAAATTATCTGAATTTTGAATAAACGAAATATCTTATAAGAATCACATTATTTGTGCAGCCAAAAGTCCCTTAAGATTTTCAGAATCGCTGCAATTGAGTTTTTTTTTCTGTGAAGAAACCGCAATATAAATTCTTATCGAAATGTGAAATTCCATAATTTTTTGGCAAATACCCTTTTAAAAACTATTTTCTATTATAACACGGTATTTGGCGAAGATTTCTAATTTGGCTGAATTTTTTTTTTTCTAAACTTGGGGAAGGAAGTAAAAATGAGCACCTAGCAAATATAGTAAATATTCACCCCAATAATAAGTGAGCTAGTAAGTTTATATTAATTTAACAAAAGTTAAATTAATATATTCTTAATGGTGGATTGATAGTTGATGGTCTATATGTATTCATATTTATATATCATATATTTGCAATTCCACATATTTATTAATATTAAGTTTATACTGCTAGTTTGTTATACCTTTTATCTACATATTATTACTATTACCTTCAACTAGTTTTTCAATATTTATATGTTATCTTGTCTTTTCTTAGCCCTGATGAAATTCTGAAACTTAGGCCGAAAAGTCACCACAAGGAAATAAAAATAAATATAATTTATTTATTTTTACTTTGTCCTTTCTTTGACTGAACCAACTTTTTTCAAAAATATATTTAATTGTTTTGTTATCTTTGTAAATTATAATTATTTTGAAATTGTCATTCTATAATGATTTTTAGGAAATTTAATCTTGTAAGAGAAAAGAAAAATTATATCTGTGACCTAAAGCCGTAATTTGGAATTTATTAAAGGGCTGCCCTACGAAATAGCGTGTAGCGCTCCACGCAAGTCCGACACGAACTTCAACAATCTAGTTCACCCAATTTGAGATTTGACCTTCGTTCACGATTCGGGATATTACGCCATATTTTATTAATTTATTATCAGTTGTTAGTTTATCTCTATGTAACTTATGATTCATTGATTAATATTAAACCTTATCGAATCATCTTAACGGCCAATACTCACCCGTGTGATCATCCTCGACTTCCACGGCATTATATTCGTATACACAGTCTCCGCTTCCAATATTCGTCGTCTTCAGCAAGAGATTGTTCACCAAGACCATCTTCCTGAGAACGGGGTCGTTGCTGGACCTCAACTGCTTCATCTTCTCAGCAGTTATGGCGGATATATCATGCGGTGATATCATCGCTTTCAAGCTACGGAATTATTTTTAACAAACTACAATCGAACATGTGTTTGACAATAAATTTATTTCAGGTTTTGACTCGATCATTTGTTTCATCGCATCTTTTAAAATCTTTCATTAAGCACCGAGAGTTGGTTAGTAATAATTCATTTTAATCAATTTATTATGTTTTTACTGTGAAAGTTGAAACTGAAATTCATCGCACAATAAAAAAGAAGGTAATCACTAAATTGAACAACCTTGTTTTAATTTTCTCCTAACTCTTTGATCGTAGGTTTAATTTAAAAATTTTAATTTATAATGTTTTATCATTTTCATTTGGTAAATATACTTTCATCTTTTCATTTCTTTTATTTTGCAATAAAGGCCGCGCGTTTATTATAATTCTTGGCTTTCGTTTTAAACTGAACCTTTTTTAATTTTTTCAGTCCATTAAATTCCTTTCTTCTCATTAATATTACAAGGGTCTTCGTAGTATTCACTCTTCCTCTGAATTCATCCCTCTCTAGACTCTTCTTCATATCTTCTTTTATCCCAAGTCTTCCCATTTCTTCTTTAATGTGTTCATTACTTTTAGCATTATCATTTTGGTGTTTAATTAATTTATTATTATTGTACATTGAGTGTGAATGAGATACTCTGTTATTTTTACTAGTGTCCTTGAATGTGACAGAATGTAATATTACTCAATACCGAAATGTTAAAAAAAATGTTTAGAGAATCCTTTGTGTCCCATCACATTACTTTGTCAAATATCCGTTTGTTTATCCTGTTTTTAGTAATTCCCTTCATGTAAACAAAGAATTTCAATCTCCTTTTCCTCGGTGATATTTCTTCCTGGAGCTCTGACATTTTCATATAATTCTTCATTATTTTAAGGCCAATACTCATCTCCCACCTTTCTTGGTCGATGAACATAACTCTCTATCTTAGTATCTTCCTCGCTGTTTTCAGTAGCCATTCGGTACAGGTAAATCCCACAGTCTCCATTTCATATAACACTACATGTTTAATTACTATTTCATAATGTCACATAATAGCTTTTTAACTAGATATCCAAGACTGCCTCTCGGTTCTTCTTCAACTGTAAATCACTCCCATCGGAGATCTGGTCTTTTTAGAAAAAGGAATATTGATCATTCACCAAACTTGTTTTAGGAGTAACCCAATACTTATGCAAATTATATGCTAAAGAGGTTGTCGATATAAATGACGATCGGATTATATTAGTCCGTGGTACTTTTAACAAATTATTAACAATCGCCTAAAACATCGTGAATAGTTTACCTACAACCTACAAATATTTTATTTACGGAAATTGGGGCGTTTTCAATCTAGAGCTTGGCAAACTTTTTCTTTTGAATTAGGTACTCCATTTGCTTCCCACTTGAATCGTAATATAATATGACCACAAAATCGAAAAAAAGTCTTGCTTTCAAAAATATTGCGTCGTTTGGCCTACATAAGCTCGTTAATTTGACATTTTGGGGGTGGAGATCACGTTAAACGGACAAATATTTTTGCAGGCCACCTTTTTTTTCGACTTGGTGATTATATTATCTTACAGTTCTAGTGGAATACACACGGGTGTTTGTGAGTTTTTAATACCTAATTTATTTATTTATTTAGGCATATAATCATCTGTCTCGTGGACAATAATTATAGTGATATATGAACACATTCACACCATATATACAGAAAATATAAAATTAACAAAAGTAATATAATAACTAAATAATAATCAAAAAAACTATGTAAGGTATATAGTTAAGATAAGTAAATTGAAAACAATACCTAATTATATAGAAGAAGTTTGCCAATCTCCAGATTGAAAACGCCCCAATTCCGAGAATTTTCATAAATGAAATATTTGTAGGTCACGATGAGATGAAGCTATTTACGAAGTTTTAGGCGGATATTAATAATTTGATAAAAGGGGTCTGTACCACGAACTATATCAGAACATAAAACTATTTAATAAGTTTTCTCAATTTTATCGTTTTTTTAAGTATCTGCTGAGTGATGAATTTCGGAACTCTTACAGAGCAGTATTGTCAGAGGTTTACGTTTCTTTATCCACTGTTCCTGAGATAAATTTGAAAATATTAACAAATTGTTTCATAGATTTATCGTTGGGATCTCTAGATAATGATACTTAATTTTAATTTTTTGAAGTTCTTAATTGAAATTTGATATTTACCCTTCTGACTACTTCAGCACTTACTGGACACACGCTCTAAGCTTTCAATTAATTACGAAAGACTCATAAACATATAATAATGACTATAATAAATTGTTGAGCAATCCCTACAATTCAAAATCCTCAATGCTCTTTACTTCGCTACAAATAAAATCATCCATAACAAAGTAAATGTCCCATATGCTTCAGATTTGGCTCATTCCAGATACCTATCCTTCCGTAATAAACTTCAGAACCATCCGAACCCTCTCGTTTCTAACTTTGTTTCTTTTTAATTCCAGTTAACCCTCCGACGCGTCTGGAAATATGGATGGCCCCTTTATCTCCTAATGTAAATATATTATTAGAGAATACTACCCTAACCGCGGTTAGTTTCTCAACAAATATTTTCATGTTACCATATCCAGTGGTACAAATTTATTAAATGTATTTTTTTCATACAGCTGTAAATATCATATTCATTCATAAAAATATGAATGAATAAATAAAAAATATTGATTCAAACAATCTTAATTTGCATATAGGTCTTTTGTTCGAAAATGCAGCTATTGGATTGAATATACTTCAAATCTGTTTTATATAAAGTATACAAGATTTCAGAATTTTTTACCAATAAAAATAAATGACCATCTAAATTTTTTTTGGACTGTGGAACTGGATCCTTTTGCTGAAGATGGATCACTCCAGATAAAATATTCCTATCTACTTAATTTTCGTTATACTAACTACTTTTTACATAAATATTACTACATACTTACATTTTTTCCAAAATAGTATGAAGCGAAAGATTGTGTCAAAACCACTTTTCTTTTAACAATTCTTCACTGGGCCTTGAATTTATCTTAACTAATTTTATTATTACTTTGTTATAAAAACATTTTTTCACATCAGTCAGGATTCCCATACTTGCCCCTGGAATCAAATTAATTAACAATTCGATGAAGATCTCGAGTTATTATTTTTGAAAAGTCAATATACTTCCCTTTTTTCCGCAGACAATATTTCCTTGGATCTTTCCTATTCCGAACGATCAACACCCGACGATCAACTTCCTACATCTACAGTCTCCTACAGTTCAAATCTGTGGTCCACTCCCAGAAAACAAGATCCCGCGTTTCTTTCCTTTATATCCCTTCCCATAGAACATTTGAATATCCCTTTACTGCCCGATCCACTGCCTTCTGGAGTTCCTTGCTATCTGATATCCGACATGCCTCTTCCTCGTCCTCATTCAAATATCATCTCTACCAACTCCTTCTCACTTCCCAAAATGACGTTGTACAATCAAATAAATATTGTGGAACGAATTTTGATTGAGGTGAATGGTTGTTGAAATTGTTTGAGTTTTAATTTTAAAAATCAACCCAAGCTAATTTTTTTATTTTATTTTTGTACACGAATCGGCCAGCAAGGACCACGCGTATAACATTTCTGTTTCCTCTTCATACCCTCAGCCTTCCTCTTACTCCAATACTCTCGTTCTGGAATGTTCCTCTGGCTCTTCCTTAGTGCATTTTCTACCTCGTCTCTTCCTCCCGCCTACAAGAACCCCAACCTCTTTCAGATTTTCTCTAAAAAGCCCTATATCCATGCAATCTTTATCCGTGATTTTTAGCCTGTCAAGTTCCTCTTTTATTTGTTTTATTTATCCTCTCATACTTTTATAGCTGCAAAATTTTGTCAAAAAATTTCTTGTTCAGTCTTTCACTATTCATCCTGACCATGTGCCCATAGATCTTCTGGTTCTAACGACTGTTTCCAAATCTTCCAAATTTCTGCATATTTCTTTATTGGATTTTAGCCTATATCCCTCTTTATCCCTCTTTATCTTGATCCCTCTTGCGTTCGTTACCTTGGGTTCGTGAATCATCCTCAGAATCTTCCTCTCAATCTTCAGGATTTTCTCTAGGCTCAGAAGGTTGACGATTCCCATTATGTTGATCCAAGTTTATATTATTTTGTTTTTTATTTTGCCTGATTTATGTTCATCTTTTCATTTAAATAATGTGTTTTTTTTTTCAACATGGTGTTACTTTTCATTTGTTTTAATATACTTTCACTGAAGATACTGGATATGTTCTTTAATGTTGATTAATTTAATTTTCGACCAGATGTAGTTTTTATATTTTGTTCATAATTGTTATTCATAAGGGATCTCGACCCAGAATAAAGTTTATTGTCTATCTTTCTATCTATACTTCCATTCAATTTTCAGCGTCAATTTTCCAATATTTTATTGGATTTATTGGACGTGTTAAGGGAATAAAATATATGACAAATTGAATCAAATGAATAAAAATTGTATTGTACTAGAGTATAAAGAAGCTTTGGCCTGTATTCTACCTTCACTGCTGGTATTTTTAAATGTTTTACCTTGACATTAATAAAGATTTATTTTTAGCGCTTACAGTTTTTTTCCTCTTTGCTATGCAGAACAGTCGTAATTGTTCGAAATTATAACTTAAGAAAACGGTCTACTTATCTTCAGGAATTACGCTTTATTATTAAATGTTTCGGGACTTATCTTGTTTGAATACATAGTTTTTTACTTTTATTTGTTCTAACATTCTACCGTCCTTATGACACCTGATCGTTTAAAACATGTAAGTTATAGCGATTGCTCAAGTTATTTTAATAACCGATTCAACAATTATAAAGGAAGGCCGCTATCTTACAACCTTCCCTTCCCACACTGGAGGTTCTCATATTCTCAATGTTTCCGCAATCATTTTACAAGGTCATTCTACTAATACCTCTACAACTTCCCGTTTAATGTTTTGTTGCCGACTAGGTATGTGATATCGAAAGCCCAAATTCGATAGAAATATCGGTCTGTAACTAACGATAACATAAAAATAAATTTAAATATAGATTCTATCCAGAGTCGCCATTTTCATCGATATTACAAAGATTTTTTGAAAAAAAAGTCTAGCATCTAGCACATAGGCGCTTAAAATTATTTTATTTTTTAAATTAATTAATGGAAATACTAATTATTCTACACTCCTTCTAGTCCGT